TATTTTGAACTCTGACCCGGGTTAGAGCAATTTTCAACTCATGACCTGTATAGGTTAACCGACCCGGGTAATAACTCTAGTGTGTTTTGTTTTGCATATTGTTAAGCATAGTAGAATTTCTTCTAATTGGCTAAAAATGTCAATCATTTTTTTATATTATGCTATTGTAAATCTTTATAAAAATTTCAAAAGTTATATTAGTAATTTTATATTTTTTCTCACTAAGCTCTACTAGACAAAATTATAAGTATAACTAAACCAATATTTCTTTATTCAATTTATATTGATAATCCAGCCTGATCTAACTTCTCTAAAAAATTAAAAGTATTCAAAGCGATGCAATGTTTTAATCATATTATTTAAGTATTTGGTGAGTATAATCTTTGCGAATTGAGAGATAATATATCTGTTGCTTAATTTACTTGTGGATTTGAATAAAGTACTAGAAAATTAAGCTAAATAGCTTTAGTAGACAAATTTCACAAAAAAACTTATAAAATGCTAGACAGATATAAATAATCTTGTGGATTTGAATAAAACTTAAAAATATTTAAGCTTTGTAAAAAATTTACAAAAAACTCTAAATTAATATAAAATGTCACTTATGTTTTAAAATAGAACTGAATAATACTAAAATATTCACATAGTATATATATGTTTTATTTATGACAAGTCTATATAAAGAACTACTTGTGAATTAAAATAATAGGCCAAATATTTATTAATAATAATACAATATGTATGTAGCTACAAAGATATATTAATTTCTTTTTATACTACCAATTGTATATATTTGCTAATTCTTTTCTTATAGTTATTTCTATTAATGCATCTTTATTTATTTCATCTACTTATTATTTTTCTCCTGTGGTTCTTCTAATTGTATCTCATCTAAATCATTATCTTCTTTGGTAAATATCATAGAACTTTTTTCTAAATGTTGCAAAAAAGACTTAACATTTAATTTGATTTCATTTTTGTAATAATCCTCACAATGTTTGCATTGATATTCCAAATATGCAAAACATCCCCAATGATATCTATGGCTACAAGTTAATATATCACCATCATATATATAATTATTTGCAATAAGAGATTTATTACAAAAATCACAATTGTTAGAAGAAGGTGGATATGCTATATTAAAGCCAGCTGATAAACATTTAATATTGACAATTTTATCAAGAGCAGCTAGTTTATAAAGAGAGTAGCATTTTGGTTTAATAAGATAACTTTGACCTTGCATAATAAATACTTTTTAAAAATGATGAATAAGAAATACTGCTGTTTTTTTGTAAGATATTCTAATGTTGATCTTGTATATAGATATTGTTTTGTTTTACTAAAAGTATTTTTAATAATCTGTTTTTTTAAAATTTAAAAAAAAAAGAAAAAAAAATTATTAGCAAAGTAATTTTTTAAAAATAAATATAATATTTTATAATTAATTTTGATTGAATTAATAAATCTATTAAATTATTACAATACAATTCTAAAATCTAAATAAGTATTTTGGAATTTAAAGAAATTCTAAGTACTAATTAGATTTTAGACTTTTACCTATAATATATGCCTAAGCAATAATACTTTCAACACTATAATGCGTATTTGTACTTCTTCAAATTTGTCTATACAGATTTTCAACATAATAATCATTGAAATTTACAAGGTATGATTGTAATATTTTTGCTATTAGATGATTGTTATCCTTCCAATAAAAATAATCGGACAAAAAAGCCAATAATACTTTATTGTAATTTTTTCTTCTCTAGCAAAGTGCAAAAGTCCAAAGCCAAAATATAGTTTCAATATATTCACTGAATGTTCCAAAACGAAATAATAAAGTATAGATATCTAGTGTAGCAGGTACAATATTATCTAATAAATCTATTAGAGCTCTGTATTCTATATCTTTGCATATAGATCCAAATTTTTGCATAATAATTTCTAATACTTGTTTTCAACCACCATTTGCTAATTCTAAAAGTAAGTTAATTTTCCAGGGTTTTGGTTTTTTTGCTAAAACTTTTTTTGTTCCAAATACAAAGTGATAAAGATCTTTAAAAAAATCATAATGTAGCATTATAGCAGTTTTTCTAAAATTTAAGGACACATGAAGTGGTCCAAGAATTGGAATAAAGCTATATATATATGAAGGAATAGAAGATTTATTATCTTGTAAATAAAGATGTGTAATAGCCATACATATAAAAAGCTGACCAGGCTAGTCAGCTACAATAGGTGCTACATTTGATAAAAAATAATTTTTTAAAGAAGAAAAATCTGCAATTGTTTGCATTGCTTTAAGATAATCTGCAAATTTATATTTTGTAATGCAATTATTCTAACATCTTTTGCAGAGCACTCTTCCTTTCTTTCATGAATTGCATCGTTATAAACATGGATAATAAGTTGTTTAACATAGTCAAAATAATTTGGATTAATTTGTTTTTGTATAATCCATTGATTTTTTCTAATATTGTAACTTGTATCAAATATTCCACTATAGCATGTTTCTAAATACCAACAAAGCTTATCAGAATCTATATTTTTTGGATTTTGAATGGATATATTTTGATAAATAATTGGAATAGGTGCACAATTATTAACTAATTTGGAAGCACAAGTTACAAAATGTTTAGCATTAGTAGTAACAGTAGTAATTGGCCAATGCATTGAATGTATTACATGGTAATCATCAATATTAAAAATATATAAACTATTATTCTGTAAATAATATTAAAATAAGTAAACTTTTTATTATATAATAAATAAATATTAAATTACATACATGCTTTGTAAAATATTCATTAATCTCCTTGGGATGGTTAATAACTATTTCGTTTTTATATTTATCAACAGTTTTAGGACAAGAGCAAAGACCCATTGTTGATAAAGTTTCAATACCATCTCTTGAAGCTCCACAAGCTACTAAATAAAGCCCAATTTCAAGTTTAAAATCATTAATAAACTTATTGTCTAAACTGGCAAGAAGATAGCAAAATCCAATAGCAGCTCTTTTTCCATTTTCATAATTCTTTTGTGATCTTGTTTGTGGATTTATTGCATTTATAAATTTATTAAAAAATCCATATAATTTAGGCTCTTTTTCTTCAATAAGTAGACAAAATTTATCTGGATCTAATTCTAATAAAAGATTTTGTTTCCTTTGTATATCATAAAGAACTTTTGTTAAAAGTTGCAGTTGTTTTTCAAAAGGCAAATCTAAAAAAAAAGTAATTAAATATATATACAATAATTTTTTAAAACAAAAAGTAATTATATAATTGCCTTGATTGTTATTTAATATATTCGATTGTATAATATTATTATTCAAATCAGAATTTGATGCCTTATTTTGAGATTTAGCTTTGTCTTTTTTGGTTTATAACGATCTGGTTCAACAATATTATTATAATGTTTTTGGCAAAGTTTATCACCAATTTTCAAATAACTAAATGCATCAAACATTTTTTTTCTTTTTGCTTTTTCATATGCTAATTGAGTAAATCCACGAATTCTTGTATTTTGTTCGGTATAATTATATATTACACAGTTGTTAATATTAGTAGAGGTCATTTTTTAAATAGTTTAAATTTTCTAAATTGTTCGCTTTTATTTATTATAAAATTTAACCAATCTGACTTTAAAATGATTATTTTCGTGATTTAAAATGATCTACATCTTATAACCAATTAGAAGAAATTCTTATGCTCATTCGACCTGATTAAATAATAATAATAATAGTTCATAAAATTTGATCCAATCGTTTGTGATATTGCGTAATTATTAAAATACAAAAATATAATAAAAATTAATTGAATAATTGTATTTTATTTTATTTGCTGTTTAATTTTTTTTGTTATGAAACCGTTTTATTATAAAAAAATATGATAAAATTAAATCATATAATTATTTGATTGGTCCATTGCATCCTTGCTTACTAATATTTTAATGATGTATTTTCATTGTTTAAAGATAGCAAATTCATAACTTATTTGAAAGAACACTTCATATATCGGAATATTGTGATGTACCACTAGTTAAAATCAAAAATATCAGTATCTGATATGTGACTTAATGCTAGCCTTTATTTTATAATTTTTAATAAGCCATATAAGCCAGCTTTAGGTTATATAAGTTACATATAAGTTATATAGCAGATACTGATATTTTATCAATATTTTGATTTTAACTAGTGTATTTTCTTGTTATCCTGACTCACGATACCCACGATACCCACGATGAGTTTTTTTTTTTATTTTGCATTATTATTTTTGGCAAATTAAATTAAAGTTTGTTAATAAAAAAAGTATCGTAGATTTATAAACTTAAATAGACACAAAATTTTGCGTCAGCATATTTCATCATAAGCTGTTGCATTAAATAATGATTTAATTAATAACGCTAAATCACTAATCGTTAAGATGATTTAAGTATTATTTAATAAGAATTTAAGTATCAAAATTTTCATTGTTTTAAGTCGATAATTAAAATATATTAAAGTACATTTATCTGATATGTATACATTCAATGTCTTATGAAGACGAGTTTTTAATTTCCGCAGACAATGCTAACGTAATATACGTACGTACGTACGTACGCACGCGTACGTACAGAAGGTGACTGATGTCTATTTTAATAAATAGAATGACGTCACCAAATTTCGAATTTTACTACCGGTAATTGAGATCGTAAAATGTTATTATTAAACAGAAAGGTAACTATTTCTCATATCAATGAATAAAAATGTCGACTGGAATTATTAAAGGGTTGAAAATCTGAGGCGTGCATTCCATTAATACAGGCCATCAGGTTTGAGAATCAATGTTGTTTAATCATGTGACTGATCACATGAAAATTCTATCGGCATTATATATAAATAGAAATACCCACGCATGTTTGCATAAATATTGTTCCTCAAAAAAAAATCTAGACGAAATTCATTAAACGAAAGGAAAAGAAAAAGAAATTAGGAAAAACTAATCGAATTTTCGATAATGCCATCTCAATTTTTTTCAAATTTATCGCATGATCTTTCACAACTTCTTGACAATGCAAATGATTACAATGTTACTATCCAAGTTGGAGAAGGATCAAATATTAAAGAGTTTCGAGCCCATTCGAATATTTTAATGGCCAGGTCTCCTTATTTCAAGAGAGCACTTTCGAGTGATTGGGTTGTAAAAAAAGATAATAATATTATCTTTAATAAGACCAACGTATCGCCGATGGTGTTTTCAATGATGCTCAAGTATGTGTTCTTCTTAAATTAACACAAATTATATAAACGTATCATATTATATTAGAAATATTAGACACAATTATAGTAATAATAATAAAATAATAATAATAATATAAATAATAATAATAATAGAGCAGTATTAATTAAAAGAATCTGAATTTTAAAACCAATATTAAAATAGATATATTTATGCAGGGATTCTTGATTTGGATAAGCAATCTGGACTGGATATTCTTGGTCTTTTGGTTGCATCCGACGAATTACTCCTTGATGAATTAATTGATCATTGCCAAGAGCATTTAATTGAAGAAAAAGCTAATTGGTTGAGGTTAAATTTTATGCAAGTCCTACAAACCGTTATTAAACTTGACAGTTGTAAAAAACTTCAAGATCATTGTTTAAAATCCATTTGCCAAGATCCACATCCATTTTTTTCATCCAAAAGTTTTTCATCTTTGGACAGTGAAATCCTTTATGGACTTCTTGAACGTGAAGATCTAGAAATTGATGAGATAGAAGTTTGGGAACACCTAATCAAATGGGGAATACAAAACGTCAATTCAAATGACATCAAGATGCCTAATGATATTACTAACTGGACAGAAAAACATTTTATTGTTTTGAAGAAATCACTTGAGCAGTTCATTCCACTTATTCGATTTTTCGAAATTTCATCCAAAGATTTTTATTATAAAGTTCGTCCATATAAGAAAATACTTCCTCAAAATATATATGAGGATCTCATGTCTCATTATTTGGCTGAAACTGAGCCAAGAACAATTAATTTATCACCAAGAATGGGACGTTGGCGAATTGATTCTGTGATAGTTAAACCAAAACATGCAATAATTATTGCTAATTGGATCAAACGAATTGATGGAAAGTTATGTATATCTGCGATGATCCCTTATGAATTTATACTTCTTTATCGTGGCAGTATTCATGGATTCAATAATGGTGTATTTCGTAGTTATGCTAATAATCAAGGATCAGCCGTTGTCGTTGTTAAAATAGAAGGTTCAGGACAAATAATTGGTGGTTATAATCCGTGTGGTTGGATTTATAGAAGTTTTCCTACTTGGGCAAATACATTTGATAGTTTCATCTTTTCTTTCGGTAATGGTAAATCAAGTGATGATTACAAGGTTAGCCGTGTCAGTAATCATCAACATGCAGTTTATGATTATGCTAATAATGGTGCACATTTTGGACAAAGTGATTTGGTTTTGAATAATAACAATGGGGCATGTAATAAGTATTCTTATGAAGATAGTATTTTAGATACAAATAATTTTAGAATTGAAGAAATTGAGGTTTTTAAAATCGTTGAGAAATAAATGAGTATTTTAAATTGGGTAAAATTCACCCAAATTTTTTTCAGTTTACATGATATGATCGCTCAAAGTGAAGCGTAGCGGAGATTCTAATTTAATTATTACTGTATTCGTACATAATTCGAATAAATAATTTCACATAATCTGAAAAAAATTTGGGTGGTGAATTTTACCCAATTGTATTTTAAAAAATTGGATGGGTTATTCTTTTTAGGCAGGATGATTGATATATGAACAATTTATCAGCTTTGATTGATAGATAGTTATATAGATAGATATGCATGTGAAGACCTATTTCTATTTGGTCTTTCACACATAAGTAAACAATAAACCTTTGTAATTTGACGCCTCTAAAAGTATAATATTATCAACAATACTGTAATTTAACTGTTATATTGTAAATTTATCCAACTCATCTAACTCTTGTTTAACTCTTGAACTTCTTACTAACATAAATAAGGGAAGGTCAATTGGATAAATTTTAAAAAGTTAAAAATCGTAGTTTCAGCCTGTTTGATTTTTTTATTCACAAAAGCGATCATCTAAATCAGTAATCATTGTGAAACTTAAATAGCATACGCGCATAAGTTGTTTTTTTTTTTTATCTTAATCGTTGTACGTAATCGTTATCTCTTTTAGCAATACTGCAATATATATTATTTATTTACTTATTTATTTATTTATTATACTATTACTCTACCTCGTATCAAAAAAGGTACGGATTGCTGATCCCGATTTGTATGTATCTTATGTAACTGTATCACATGTAGACCGACGCCGCTTAGATCCGCAGGTTCAATTATTTGTAAAATGGTAAAATGCCGTTTTCCTTAAATCTTAATCTTTAATCCTTTCTCTTTTTTTTTTTTTTTTAAAAAAAAAAAAGAGAAAAAAAAAATTATATTGTAAATGGCGAATAATTTAGAAAATAAACCTCATTTAACATTGTCGCGTTCTTCACTATCGATTGAAACAATAGCGGAAGCTTCCCAACCATGTGAAGCATCAGAAGAATATGATAACGAATTAACCTTGACTGCAGATAGTGAGCTATATAAAGCCGTTAGTGAAGTTCTAAATTCGGGTCTTTATCAGGAAACGTTTAAAAAAGGATTTCCTGACGAAAGCAACAATAATCCACCCCAAGAGCCAGCACCTAAACAAGTGCCAAGATGTGCAGATTTCTGGTATAAATTACTTAAACCTATCTTTGTTCGCATATCGACAAAAGCAACTTGGCCTATGGCAAAGCAGGTTCTTAAGGCTGCTGTTGCTTACTGGCTTGCCTTTGTTATTGACCTTACTGTCCCTGCTATGCAGGAATTAGGCCCTTATACCTTCTTGGCGATCGTAATGGTCTGCTACTTTCAACCTTCTAGAACATTCGGTTCTTTATGGGAGGTAAATAAATTAAATAAATAGATAAATATATATATATTTTTACTTTACAAATTGACCAACAATTAATCATATTTCGGCTTGTTTATTATATAGAGCGCTGGTTGGGGAATTGTCGGTGCTTGCTTAGCTACATTATGGTCTTTTTTAGGTATTAAAATATCTCAAGCAATACGTGGTGATGAAATATTTAACATTCCTGCTATGTTAGTCAATTTATCTTTCTTGGCTATTGGTACATTTGTTTTATCATATGATAAGATTAAATGGCAACCTATGCGTTATGGTGCAATTAATGCTATCATAATTATGAGTTTTAGCCTAACATTATCTTATGTTAATCCTGCTAATACAAATCAAATATTGGTAGGTTATTATATTTAAATGTTAAAACGCGTGTCTTGATATTAGTTTATTTATTGCTATCGATATCATATTTATGCATACAGAAAAATTTGCTTATGCCGATGTTAATTGGTCCTGCTTGTTCATTTGTGGTTAACATAGCGTTATGGCCAGAGAATGCTACTACTAATTACATACCCTGTCTTCATAAGACACTTCAAAATTTTATTGATTTGCTTGATCAAGAAACGCATTTTTTCCTTCGTGATCCGTACAATAGGAATACAATTTCTGAACTTTATCGAAATTTACAAGATAACATTCTTAATCTTGATATAGCAAAAAAAGATGCTCAACATGAAGTGTCATATTCAAAAATTGGACCGGAAGACTTGTTAGATATTAATAAAACTGTAAAATCTTTGCATTCGATTTTAGAAGGATTAGCATTAAGTGGTGTAATTGAAGAGGAATTAATGAAAGATGGACAAGAAGGAATAATTGAGATCAGAATCGAAGATAAATGTGATCATGCTTCGATTTTCGATCAGGTAACGTTAACTACTTATGCCGATGAATCTCCTTCTCCATCATCTGTCGCGACTGCAACGGGAAGTGAAGAGGATTTAACAAAACTTCTGGAAATTATTCGACCTATTTGTACCGATCTTTCTGAAACGTGTCAAATGTGTTTAGCTGATTGCATGGAACGTGTTGAACATTTTAAACATAATTGTCATGATCCATGGTATCGAAAGATATGGCCTTTTAATCTTAAAGCGACACCAAGCCACGTTCAAAATATAACTGATGATCCTTTGGAGCAGCTTCATGCTGCTATAGCTAAATTTGAAAATACGCGTGTTGAAGGTTTAGATCGACTCTTTAGAGATAAAGAAATTATAAGCCCTGTACCACAAAGAGTGTTACTTTTAATACTTTTATTTGAAAAAAGTCTTAAAACATTTGCAGAAGATTTGTGTTTTTTAATCGGAACTATAAAAATATTAGAAATTCAAAGGCAATCGAGAAAATTTTGGCATCCACCAATACCATTTTTCAAACGTACAAGAGATGTAGGAGGAACAGAAGAAGAACATTTAAAATTTTTCGAATCTAATACTAGAGAAGATGAAAAAGAAGAACTTGAAAATGAAATATTATTTGATCCTGATGTGACACAACCGACTACATCATGTCAACGATTTTGGTATAAACTATGGATAATTAGAAACTGGTTTAATACTATATATGCTAAATTTGCTATGAAAAATACATTAGTAGTTACTGCATTGTGTATACCGGCATTTTTACCGAATTCATATGTATGGTTTAATTTTAATCATGGACAGGTAAGAACAAAAATTCTTTAAAATATTTATGTTCTTAAATGAATTGACTGTTTTTTTTTTTCAATGTAATAGTGGGCCATCATTAGTGCAGTTCTTTCTTTTTCACCTACTACTGGCGGAGCCGTTCTTCAATTTTTTGGTCGTCTCCTCGGCTCAATTACGGGAGCTACGATGGCTATAATCACTTGGGAAATTTCACAAGGAAATGCCTATGGTCTTGCTTGTTCACTTTTCATATTTTCATTGCTTCTTTGGTTCATATATTTGAATGCAAAAGTATGGACAGTTGGAGGAGTTATTATGTTAGTCAATTTTGCTTTAGTCCTTGCAAATGTTTATCAATCTCGTAATGGAATAGGTAATACCAGTGAAACAATTTATAGCATTGCAGCAAAGGTTTGTATCAAACGTATATTATTATTTTATTTATCAGAATTAATAAGTAATATAGTACTAAAATTTACATATACATTTGCGATAACAGAGAACATGTGCAGTAAGTGTTGGTATTACATCAGCTTTCATTATGAATATGACGCCTTGGCCGCATACGGGAAGAGTTGAAGTTCGTAGACGTCTTGCACGTACAATATCTGATATATGTGTTTTATATTCAATGACAATCTCATCATTGTTAAAGGCAAGACCAAATTTAAGAGCAAAACCATTCCGTAAACTAGTTAGCAAAATAAATCGATCAATAACTATAGAAAGATTATTACTTTCACGTACAAAATATGAACCACCACTTCGTGGTAACTTTCCAATCGAACGTTATAGGCAGATTATAGACATTGTAGAACATATGGTTTGCCTTGTCAGTGGATTAGATCATATATTACATGAACTTTATGGAACTGAATGGAAAACAGAATTAGCAGATGTATTCAATCCAGTCAAATGTAATTATATAACGCATATATTAACAACATTTCACATATTATCGACTGCATTGGAAAACAAAGTTCCTTTACCACCATACAACATAATCGCATCAGGAGATACAAGGTATGGAAGAGTTGGATTAGGTAGTAAGTTATCAGGAAAAATTAGAAGAACAGCATCAGATTTAACAAAAGAAGACTTGGAAACACAAGCATTTATTTGCTATTGTGCCTATCTGATAAAAACAAGCCATCTTATTAATGAAATGATAAAACTAGTCAATGTTATTAAGCATTTAGTTGGAGTTAACAAATATGTTAAGGAACTGATAGAATTTTAGTAATAGAATTTTATTATTTAGTATTATATATATTAGATTAGATTAACAAAAACATTAATACTCTTATTTTAGTAATACGAATGGTTTAATCTATTTGTATATAGTGTATAAAAATGACAAATAAAAAAAGTTTAGATACGTACTATGTACGAAACAAAAATTTTTTCAAAGTGGTATGTAAAATATAAATAACGTAACTCAATCGTAAGATAAAATGACTACATAAAGAAAAGTCAAATGCTGCTACACGTATGACAACCATTGTAACAAGTCAACAACTCGATAATCTCATCCTAAATATGGATAAACGATATGATTATCTATCGAATTAGAGGACCCGTAAACTTACGGCGGCAGAATCTGTACAGGACTCTGCTTTTGACTAAAAGGAGGATAATAGACATAGGGGATGTATTGTGTTATAGAAGAAATTGGGGGAGGTTTTTATTTGAAAACTTACGATTTTTTTTTTTTTTTTGGAGTACAATTTATGTCAATAATCACAGTAAAAATTCTAGAAACCATTAAGAAACTATATATTAACTATTTTAAACGTTACCCAAAATCACATATATATGTATTTCAAAATGATGTTTAAGCACAGAGATCGAATGTTTTAATCTATATAAAATGTGCATATAAAAAAGAGTATACAATAATGGGTGCATTTATTAATAAAGAATTTCATTTAGAAAAATTTTAAATTAATTTGACATGTACGTACGTAGTTTAAACCGGAATTATCCATTCATTTATTTATATATTTATATTTACCATGTAAATATAACGATAATAAATCTGACTATATAAATACAGAAATATGATAATTTTATTTAGATTTCGACAATATTCACAGTTAATCTTTTTTACAGAATAGGAGTACTTACCGATATGGATTAATCGGATTAATCAATTTTTAATTAATTTTTGACTTACGGCACTCAATTAACCAATTAAATTCTATTTTGGTTACACGCATAACAAAATAGATTTAAAAACAACTTGAATGTATATACCCATTATATAAGAATGATGTCCAAGAGAAATTAATATACAGTCAATGGCATATGATTTTCAGATTTTCTTGGCGTCATTATACTAGGTAACTCTTTAAGTGCGTATCAAAAGGTCATTGGTGCGTGAGATATCAACCGATAATTGGAAATCTTAGGATTAAATGTATACATATAGCTAATCAAAATGGGCTAAATGTTTAGGAGAGAAGGGAGGGAGGAAGGGATGATCTCTACGGTAATTGATTCGACCAATGACCTTAAGTTTATGAAAATTAAAAAAATCAGCAATTTAACAAATTAAAATACTACCATTTTTTGAAAAGAGTCTGACTACAGGTGTATTCATTCCTTTGGGAATGTTTTCAAAATAAATAGAAAAAAAGCATTTTGAGAAGGCATATTTTGTTTTATTATACTTTACAAAAAAAGTTAAGAATAAAGTCATGAGTTTTAATCATTATTATTCGTGATTTTATTTTAATGCAAATAATTTAAGGTAGGACGAATACTTTTTAGACTTGGGGTTGAAGCTTAGCATTTATACATATGGAGGATTGACAGAACTTTATAATACGTTATTATATTTTTAAGTTAAATGAAAATACATATAATTTATACATAACTTATATTGCAATTCTCGTTTATCATGCGATCAATGCTAGGATATTCTATCACATTTGAATACCGTACATTCATAATTTTATGTAATTTTATAATAATACATACTGTATATTTATTATATAAATTATATATTATGTATATAATTTTATAATAATATCTGCATATAGTATCCCTTGAAGAAGTATCACCCTTAAATAGTATCGGATACTATTAAATCCTTTTCACACAGTACCCAGGGGTATTATTCAGCGCTGTACCATACAGTATGTAAATTACATTCAATTTTATAGTTCACTCCTACTTATCTCTTACACCATCTTGCAGACAAATTTGGTAATTATTTTTGAATTCAGACCAAATGTTATAAAATTAATCCGGGTTCAAAAATAATTACCCAAATTGTCGTTAGCGATCTATGTCAAATTATACTGAATTTGTAGTTTCTATTGCTGTATATTCCAAGCTTCTATAATACAGCATAATTTAGATATAACGAACACATGTATAACAAAGTTCACGTACATTTAAATTAGCTTATATAAGGAAACTTAGTAAATTTGATATATTAAGAATTTTGAAATTTTGGGCTAATAGCGGATACCTTCGTTATACGTATTGAGGTTATTGATACTAGATGTTATTACAATTATGCTGTATTCAGAATAGGATGTCCAGAATAATGCAATTCCAATCCGCACATAATCTTGCAGATTTTTGCAGCCAAATTTACCAGCATCATAGCCTTATGAGGAATTTTTATTCTAGAAATCGTCAAGTATTATTTCGGAAACAATAGAAACACATTTAATTGCGGTTTCTGCAAATTCTGTAAATTCAGTGAATTCATCAAATACAGAATCTCTAAACAGAATAGCATGCATAAGAGATGTTAATCGATAGTGAAGTTCTGCAGTGACCTGCAGATAAGATGTTAATCTGCTTGTTCGACTTATTAAATAATACGATTAACAACTATTGCAGAATTTTAACCGATAAATTTCCCATCTATAGTAGAGATCCTATATTATTA